GACCCATGCAGAGAGGTGAATAGGATCAGTGATCCACAAGACCATGTAGAGATCGATATATGAAGAAGAAGAACAAGCAAGGGGATGAGAAAAGGACAGAAGAGGCAACGTTAGCACTTACCACTAGCTGAACAAGAGTCTGACCAATATAATCCATGCATTCTATCAATTGACTATGGATACAAATATAGCTCTTTGCCATATGCTAGCTTGTATATATATGTGTGTGTGTGTCCGGAGTAAATCAAATAATGGCACTGAATTCTAGTCATTCATGCAAGCAAATATTAAACGGAACGTCTAACGCCGGACATCCGGATGGGGCTAGCATCCTGACGCCATGCCTGCTGCGCTTGCCTCACATGGAGGCCCGCACCGCTCCATGTTCCGCAGCCGCACCGTGTCCCATGCCCGCACTGTGGCCCACGCCGCTCCATGTCCCATGCCTGCACCATGGCGCCGCATGCGCTTCGTGTCCCGCGCTGCTCCATGTCCTGCGCCCGCACCGTGGCGCCCCCTCCACACCCACGCACAAATGGGTCCCACTGCAACATGTGCAACACCAAGATCTACTTTTGCAACATCTATATAAAACACTCGCAACATATGTCCGAAACAATTGAAACACTCGCAACATACGTCTGAAATACGAGGAAAACACGTGTGTAGCCATTGCAAAACATACACAACATCCAGATAAAACATTTGCAACAAATGTGTGAAACATATGCAACATCCGGATGAAACACACTTGCAACATATGTCTGAAAAAAACAGATGAAACATTTAGGACAAACGCTTGCAACATACGTGTACAACCATTGTAATATATGTAACATCCCGATCGTATGAAATACTTGAAACATACCTCTAAACACATCTGAAACGTTTGAAATGTACACTTGCAACTGCATCATATCCCGTCGCTGCCAGACGCCCGTGGCCCTTGCTGCTGGCAACCTTCCTAACTGCTTGACGCCCGCGACCACGGACCTGCTGAGCAACTACATCCTCGTCGGCACTGCTGGGCGAGGCGTCCCTGCCCGATCTCGTACGCATCATCAGAAACCGTTGCCGAGGGAGGAAGGGAGTGCGAGGTGCAGCCGGAGAAGCCCGCTCCGAGTATGGCCACTCAGATCTCGTGATGTCTCAAGATGAGTCGACAACGGCGAGGACCTTTTGGTGGGGAACGGCAGCGTCGGTAGCACGGAGGCGGAGTGGGCGTCACTACTACAGGAATCTTAACCGTGGCAGGCAAAAAGGGTTAACCGAGGCAGTTTTTGCAACCGTCTCGGACGAAAGGTCACGGTTAATTGTGGCCTTAACCGAGGTAGTTGCCCTAACCGCCTCGGTTAATCCATTAACCGAGACGGTTGGCATAAGACAACTGCCTCGGTTAATGCTATTAACGGAGGCAATTGCGTTATAATGCCTGCCTCAGTTCATAATTTCACGAAATAAAAAAAAGCCCACCGAGCCCGGTACCACGCGCCGCCGTTGCCCATGGTAGAATCCACGCCGCCGCAGCCACCGGTGGCCGAATCCGCTACCGGTGACTTAATCTGCGCCCTGCTGCCTCTGGTGGTTGGATCCGCCGCCATGCCATGCTCGGAGGAGAGGGAGGGGTTGTCATCGCCGATGTCGGCCTCCTGCACGCCGCCGCTACGTGTGGTGGCCGCCGCCGCCGGAGGGGGCTAGCCCGTGCGCCTCCTCGATCCTCCCCGCGCAACCGCCTTCGCTGCCTCCATGCCGGAGAGGGAGGGGCCGCTATCGCCGGTGCGGGCCTCCCCGCGCGCCGCCGCCAGAAGGGGCTGGCCCGTGCCCTCCTCCCCCCTCCAGCCGCGTTCACTCCTAGAAGACCGAAGTGAGAGACGAGAGAGAGAAACGAGAGAGAGGGACGGACATGCGTGGAGTTGTTTTCGCTGCGCACGGGCTCAGAGTTATCCCGTGGGCGAAATGGGAAAACCACCGGCGTCGTCTCCAGTTTTGTGAAATCGCTGCACACGTGGCAAGCCATGAGTGGCCACTAGCCCCGCTTTCGGATTGTTGACGTGGAGTAGCACACGGATCACCCCAGCGCGCAGCTGAAAGGTCCTTGTTTGGTTTTGGTAATTGAGTGACAACCTAGGTGGACTAATTGTGTTTATGTGAGATACACAGGTAATTAGTCCATAGGTACATGTGTGTGAGCAACATATGCCATGAAGGTGAAAATGTCTTGAAAATGTTGCAAAGCTCACACATGTGATGATGAAGGAGCTTATTGCACATGAGACATGACATTGAGTCATGTGATCAAGGTGGAGAAGATCATGACAAGACTTGGCTTGATAGACCGGTTGCAAGCGTGAAGGGCAAGTCGGAGGCTTTGGAGTGATGGACCACGTGGCGGAGAAGCTTCAGCAAGACTTGGCACCGATGGACGATGGCAACGGTGAAGAGCAAGTGAAGTCAAGATCGATGAACCAATATGATCACGTGATGATATGAAGTGGATCATATCATTGTTGATCATGTCACATTGGAGAAGATGGAATGGAATGCGCAAGGCAAAGGTATAACCTAGGGCATTTTATTTCACCGGTCATAGGTGTGTAGAGAAGTTTATGACCGGGTTTAGGATAGATGGCCGTACTATCAAGAGGGGCAAATTTGTTTGCATATCGGTCATCTAGTGCCACTCGAGTGATCTAACTTTACATCGTCGCTAGGATCGAGTGGCGTGGCAAGTTGAGTGGCTAATCCTTTAGAAAATGATCGTGAAAATGCTAACACACATACACATGGTGGTGTACACTTGGTGGGGTTGGCACATTTACAAAAGAGATGAAGTTGGAGTTGATGTGGATCAACTCGGTGAAGAAATAAAGGTGAAAGGAGAAACTCCACCGGCGGAGTGTCCGCCCGTAGAGTGTGGACAGTCCGATGGTGCCACCGACGCCGTAGACAGAAAAGACGGAGGTCACTAGAAGTGACCGGACGCTGGTCTCGGTTGGACCAGCACGTCCGGTCAGTGATGGCAGGCAGCGTGCAGCGTTGGTCAATCGACCGGACGCTGGCTGTGGAAGTGACCGGACGCTGGCTGAGAGCGTCCGGTCAGAGCTGACGTATGGTGACACAGGTAGAGCAGAAGCTGGAGAGTGACCGGACGCTGGTGCTGCGTCCGATCGCGATTGACCGGACGTGTCCGGTCGTGAAATGTTGTTTCTAGAACCTTACTGGAAACAACCGAACGCTGGAGGCTCAGCGTCCGGTCAGTTGAAGCTGCTGCGTTCGATCGTCAGATGACCGTTGAGATCGGATGAACAGCATTTGAAGGAGGGGACACGTGGCGAGTATCGCGTGACCGGACGCTGAGGTCCAGCGTCCGGTCGATCGGACCGGAGCGTCCGGTCATCCCGACTTTTGCCCAGTGAATGGGTAACGGCTCTATTTGTTCGTGGGGTTATAAATAGAAGCCATGGTCGGCCTTGGGCCGGAAGCTGAGCACACTAGAGCCTTGGTGGCTTGTGTAGTAGTGCTTGGGAGCCCTCCATCTCACACATACTTGATAGTGATCATCCGATTGTGTGAGTGAGCGATTCTAGTGCGATTGCATTGTGAGGTTGCATCGAGTGGCACTAGATGATCGAGTTGCAAGCTGGTGGTGCTTGTTACTCTTGGAGGTTGCCACCTCCTAGATGGCTTGGTGGTGGTCTCCGTCGAAGCCCGCAAGAAGCTTGTGCGGCACTCCGGAGAAGTGCTTTGTGAGGGGCACTGTGCTCGCCCTGCGGGAGCCGCGAAGAGCAACTCTAGTAAAGCATGTCATTGAGCTACCCTCACTTCCGGGGTAGGTTCTTGCGGCGCCCGATGTGCGGGCTTGGCGGGTGATGCCAATTAGCCGCCGAACCACCAAGTGAGCGGTCGACACAACGAGGACTAGCGTGTTGGCAAACACGTGAACCTCGGGAGAAAAATCATCGTGTCAACCTTGTTCTTCCCGTTGGTTTGCATCCCCATTACGCTTGCAATTACTTTCATATACATTGAGCTTGTGTTGTTGCTTTCGTAATTAGTTAGCTTGTGTAGCTTACTAGTTACCTTCTTGCTTGTGTAGCATAGAAGTAGCTTTCTTGCGTGGCTAATTTGGTTTGTGTAACCTTGTTAGTCACATTGCTTAGTTTGTGTAGCTAAGTAATTGCGCTCTCTAATTTGGCATTGGTTGCCTTGTTATTGAGCATTGCTAGTGAGCTTAGGTGGCTTTGTACTTTTGCTTACTAGCATGTGTAGGAGCTCCCTTGTCGCTTAAAGTACTAGTGGCATAGGTTTGTGTGACCTTACTCCTAGAATTGATTAGGAGAGCTCTAGCTAGCCCTGCACCTTAGTTGCTTAATTAAGTATCTTTGGAAGGTGCTAGAAAACATAGATAGAGGGGTGTAGTCTTGGCTAGACCGATAGTTTTAATTCCGCACTTGTTTCGGTTAGCCGACATGATTAATTTTAAAAAGGACTATTCACCCCCCCTCTAGTCACCATCTCGACCCTTTCAGCAGCACATTTGTGCTTTCTCACTGCGACCGACACACGGGCCCCACTCCCACTCCCACTCCCGTTCCTGTGTGCCCATGCCTCGAGGTCTGAACGCAGTTAATGATTTGTTAGCCGAGGCGGTTGTTTGGAAGTGACCGTCTTGGTTAATGTATTAACCGAGGCGGTTGCTTTATAATGCCCGCCTCGGTTAATAGGCATTAATAGAGGCGGTTATATTATATTGCCCATCTCGGTTGAGACAGTTGCGTTATAATGCCCGTCTCGGTTAATAGACATTAACCGAGACGGTTATATTACATTGCCCGCCTTGGTTAAGTATTAACCAAGGCGGTTGCTGGGCAGGCTGCCCTGCCACGAATAACCGAGGTGGGCAGCCGACCCTCCCACCTCCGAGGCCCAAAGTGAAATGCTGTGTAAAAGATTTTCTATAGTAGTGCGTGGGTGGCAGACACGATGTTGAGCCGAGCGGGATGGGGTGCACCGGAGGCGGAGTGGGCATAGGGGAGCAGACGCAGCAGACGCGGAGGAGGCAGGATGGGAGGAGCAGGGGGATGGGGCGCATCGGAGGTGGAGTGGGCGTGGGCGGCAGACGCGGCGCCAAGCTGAGCGGGTGGGGGCACCGCGCGCAGCGCACGATGACGAGGCAGAGGAGTGGGGTGGGCGCCCGATGTGATGAAGCGAGTGGGGACTTCGTTAGGGATTTCGGTTTGGATTTCTGTTGTGGGTGGAGGAGAAAGCGTCGGTGTAGAGGAGCAGGCATGTTGTCTGTTGGGCCTGATCGCTTCGCAGGCCCAGGAATGACGTGTCTGGACGCACATGTCCAGACGGACGCCCTCACCGAAGTATTATCAAATATTAAAAGGTACCCGAGCTTGAAGGAGTTTGAGTCGCCTAGGTCAATAATGGTATGTGTGCGTGAAGCTAGAGAAAACGTAGCGTAGCCAGCGCCAAATAGAAAATGTCGTGAACTTTAAAGGCTTCTGTAGTCCGAGATCTAGGGGCTTTTGGATCAGTGTTAAAAAGTAGCCCATTTTATGATAATGGGTTAAACATAGGTTAATCATATGAGCTACTACTCTACTTAGCCCCATTAGCCCTTATTAGCCTATGATTAGCTTATGTTTTTCGTGTTTAAAATAAAAGAAAAAAAAAGATAAAATAAATGAAAGAAAATGAAAAGAATGAAACATGAAAATGAAGAAAATGAAATAAAGAAAATAATTAATTACAATAAAAGAAAAGAGATATAAAAATATAAAAATAAAATATAAATAAAAACCATGGAAAAGAAAAAATAAATAAAAAGGAAAAAATAGACACAAGGGAGAAAAAGGTGAGTAATAAAAGGAAAAATAAGAAAGGAAAACAGCGACACCTACCAACCTGCGTCTTGCATAATATTTACATGTGTCAGGCTATGCGCGCATTCGGCCTGATAGAAAACTATCGACCCAACATTCCATATGCGTATGGCTCAAGACGATCGCTCGGCACGTTGCTCCCATCCGAGCACTCGGACCGAAAGATTGGCTCACGGGACTGCTAGGCCTACATGCTACAAGATCGACATCTGGGAGGCTAGACACTCCCTCCAACCTCCGCTGCAAATTCACTACAAATTCATGAGTTTTACTGAGTATTTTCAAAAAAAATAACACTAAATACTACCTACATAAATTATAGAGTAAAGTCCATTTTGTCCCGTTGAACTTGTCTTGTCTCATAGTTACACGTTGATCCCTCCAAAACTCAAAAGGTAGACATCATACACCCCTAACTCCTAGAATTGAACAAATTGTCTGATACGTCAATTCAAAGTGAGATTTGAAGGTAGTTTACACTGACTTGATTCTCAAAATCAAGCATATAATCTGCTATGGCAATTCAAAATGTTTGCAAGGTAATTTTGTTGATGTAAGGCATCCTTCTCTCCATGCATCTTTGGATTTCCTCTCCTTCTAGATGGACACATCACCATGTCTTCACCCCCTCCCCTTCACTATTACCCACTAGTTTTAGCTCACGATACCACAGTCGAGCCAAAAATAAAAAGCCATGATGAATGCTCTCATATGGTATTGGCTTCACTCTAGTGACAACAAGGAATGGCCCATAAGGCAACTCTACCGCTCCAACCTACTCCATCATCGAGTTCTAGCCACACTTCTCATGGTGGCATGACACTTAGAGGTAAGAACAGTAGGGGTCGGTGAGAGGGACGAGAAGATGACGAGGATGATGGATAAGTGATTAGGATTGAGAGCAGCGAGAGACACAAAGTTAGGAAGCACACAAACATAAAGGAAAAAAAAGATTTATAGGGAGGATCTGATGTAGATGAAAAAAAAATATGACGGCTTGTTTGGGTGTTCATGTATCCACCTTAAATCATGTGTATCAGGTGGAATTTAGATTGACCGGACGGACGACCATACAAACAATGCCAAAGATTATAAGGGTTTCAGACTCGCCTCGCAAATCGTGAAAACCACTTTAGACCTCCTCCAGTTTTGAGGGATAATATAATAAAATGAGGAATTACGGGCCGGGTGGCGCAGCACAGTACCACAGGAGCCCAAGCCCGTCAGAGCCCAAGCCGTCAGGCCTTGAAGGGGTGCGGTTTTGAGAGCCCAAGTCCGCGAGTAGTCAAGGAGACCGACCGACCGACCGTGGCTGCGCTTGTCATTCATTCACACCACACACCCCGAACTCTCTCTCTCTCCCTCGTCGCGACGACTGGGGGAGACCGCCGCCGCCGCCCTACGCCAGCTGCCCAGGTCTCCACCGTGTCCTTCGCCAGCGACGAGAGGTCACCAGGTTCTCCTGCCCCTTCCTCTCCCTCTCCCTACCCGCTGGGCGAAACCGATCTCCCAAACCCTAGCTGAGGCTTCCCATTTGTGTACTTGCTGCATCCGGATCTGGTCTAGTTACAAGTGTAGCATGCTTGCATCCGGATCTGATCTAGTTGCAAGCGTAGCGTACTTGTTGCATTCGGATCTGATCTAGTTACGAGCGTAGTACAGTTGCATTCGGATCTGGTGTAAAAGATTTTTGTTACGAATTGGTCTGAGCTAACTGGATGCTTGAACTGGGGTGTCAGTTGAAGTTGTTGTTGGTGTGATTCCAGTGAAGAGCAGTTGGTCTTTCGTCCGGAAGTAGATCACCACACATTTTGCCTTACTGGAATATGATGTTGCAAATTTCAGATGCTATAAGTCATGAACAAATTGTTGTCTTTGTCTGACCTTTTTTCTGTACAAGAATTGGATTTACTGCTTTCAGATAGCATGTGTGTTTGAATGCAGTGTTCCTTTCAATCAATCATATATTGAAAAAAAAAATCACTGATGGATTCTCTTTATATGCCACGCTGCAGCAATTCTGTAGAAATGGCTGATGGTGAGGACATCCAGCCTCTTGTCTGCGACAATGGCACCGGAATGGTCAAGGTCAGTCCTTCTCCTCCCTTAACTTGTACAACCTTTATCTCCTTTCTTTCCAAATACGCCACTAATTATGTCTGTCTATCTATCTTCCAGGCTGGTTTTGCTGGTGATGATGCACCAAGGGCTGTTTTCCCTAGCATCGTGGGCCGTCCTCGTCACACTGGTGTCATGGTAGGGATGGGACAGAAGGACGCGTATGTTGGTGACGAGGCACAGTCCAAGAGAGGTATTCTCACGCTCAAGTACCCGATTGAGCACGGTATTGTCAGCAACTGGGATGACATGGAGAAAATCTGGCATCACACTTTCTACAACGAGCTCCGTGTTGCCCCCGAGGAGCACCCTGTGCTGCTCACTGAAGCTCCTTTGAACCCAAAGGCCAACAGGGAGAAGATGACCCAGATTATGTTCGAGACTTTCAATGTTCCTGCCATGTACGTTGCGATTCAAGCCGTGCTCTCCCTCTATGCTAGTGGGCGTACTACTGGTATGACCTGCTTCTCCCTCTCCCTGTAGTTCAGTGTTGATTCAGTTTCCTACTAATAATATCTCTGTGGTTCCATTATGCTGTTATCAAGTGTTTATCTGAGGTTATTGTCAAGGTCATATCAAGTCGCCATGTATCTTATCTTCTATTCTTGCTCATGAGATTTGCATAACTCAGATGCACTGCCTATGTGGTTACCACCTCAGTCTGTACGGTGATATGAATTCAGGCAAAAATAGTATCTCAGCTAATATAGCAAGAATAAATAATGGAAGTTAAACTTAATTGTTTACACGGTGTGGCTGAAGTTTCCCCTTTTTTATTTTCTCAATCTACAGGTATTGTTCTCGACTCTGGTGATGGTGTGAGCCACACTGTGCCCATTTACGAAGGATATGCCCTTCCCCATGCCATTCTTCGTTTGGATCTTGCTGGCCGGGACCTCACGGACTCCCTCATGAAAATTCTCACTGAGAGGGGTTACTCCTTCACAACCTCTGCCGAGCGAGAAATTGTAAGGGACATCAAGGAGAAGCTGGCATATATAGCCCTTGACTACGAGCAAGAGTTGGAAACTGCCAAGAACAGCTCCTCAGTTGAAAAGAGCTATGAGCTACCTGATGGTCAAGTAATCACCATCGGTGCAGAGAGATTCAGGTGCCCTGAGGTCCTCTTCCAGCCGTCCATGATTGGTATGGAGGCTGCTGGAATCCATGAGACAACATACAATTCAATCATGAAGTGCGACGTGGATATCAGGAAGGACCTCTACGGCAACATTGTGCTCAGTGGAGGTTCAACTATGTTCCCAGGTATCGCTGATCGTATGAGCAAGGAGATCACTTCCCTTGCACCAAGCAGCATGAAGATCAAGGTCGTTGCACCACCTGAAAGGAAGTACAGTGTCTGGATAGGAGGGTCGATCCTAGCCTCGCTCAGCACTTTCCAACAGGTGTGTATTGTTTATATTACTTTCAGCTGCTGCACTTAATTTTTTTAAATCATAATAATATGGCTGAAATGAAAACACTTCTGAATTCTGTTATGATGTGGCATGGATGTACCAGATGTGGATATCGAAGGAGGAGTATGATGAGTCTGGCCCGGCAATTGTTCACAGGAAGTGCTTCTAGGTTTCGCAAGTTCCTCATTGTTACCTAGTCTCAAGTTATGTCCCCTTCATTTCTCAAGATATGTGTTGCAGATTTGCATGCTACGTTTATTTGCATCGGACCTGAGTCTTCTCTGGGATAGACCCTTCTTTGTGTGTTGTGGCTTCATGTGCGGTTTGTGAGATTAGTTGTCAAACATGCTTTGCTTGATTGGTTGTACCTGTAAGAGCTGATAGTTATATAAATTGCTTGGACTGTGCTGGTGCTATCAATAGTCTTGTATGTATCTGAATTCTGAAAGCATTGTTATCTGAGCATCCGTGCTAGTATGAACTTAAAGTAGCTTTTGTATTGGTGATATTAACTACGAGGAATACAATATGCGTTGGTAGTTTGGTTGCAGCCATGTCAACTTGTCAAGGATGCAGTGCAGATGTTTGAACAATATACCAACTGGAGATTATACAACCATGGAAGCCTGGTTTGGATTCATCTAGTTGAACCACTACAAAACAACTTGTATTTTACATAGTAGCCCCTATTCTATGTCAAACAAAGTAGTGTTTGCTGACACTGCGGGAGTTTGAGGTCTTCAGGAGTCTCGAGATGTTTTGCGGCGTAAAGTTGAAAAAAAAACCCACCTGGAACGCTGTTTACTTCTCTCTTGCAGCGATGGTATCAACATGAAGCCAAAACTCGAAACTTAAGTGTCGTCTCGCTAGTTGTTTGTGTTCCCATGTAAATAGTTGGTTGCCAGCCATGTTAACTTGTCAGGTCCCATTGACAAACGCCGTATTGGCAAGACTTCAAATATAAAGAAGGATGCAGCGCTGTGCAGATACTGAACAATTTACAAACTGGAGATTATACAGGCAGCAATGGTAGCCTGGTTTGGATTCAACTAGTTCAATCATCACAAAACAATTTTTACAAAAGTTGCCTCTACCCCATTTTATATCAAATGAAGTATTTGCTGACACTGCAGAGTTTGAGAATTTCACGAGTCTCGAGGATGCATTTTGCAGCGTCAAATTTGACAAAATCTCACATGGTAACAGTGTTTACACTTACAGCTATGGTAGAATCAAATCATCATACAAATGAGCCTGGAATTTGCTTTCTCATAAGATTTGGCAGGAGTGACCTAATCTATGCTTTTGGTACAGATTATGCTTTTATATTTCGTTATTACCAACATGAAGCTAAAACTCTAAAGTTTACTTTCTTCTAGTAGTTTCTGTGTCCTGAAGACCAGCAGCTCCACGCATCATTAGAAGTCATAAGAAAATCATCAAAAATTTCCTTGCATTCGCATGTCCCCATGGTAGTTAGCCACTTGACTTGAAGGCACAGGTCAATGCGTTGTACGCTTCCACGCATCGTCTGAATTTTTCTTCTGCTTCAGCCTGGAGAATGCAGATGTGTTCAGATTTAACATCTTTGATATATGGTTAAATAAATCACCGAAACAGAACCAAGCTATTGTTTTTGGCTATTTGTATGTTCAAATCCACAGTTTCAACAAATCAATTCAATCTATTTGGTATGTTGTGCATTTCGATTTGGCAATGTTAGAATAGGAAGGTGCGGGAGCCTATCTGGACTGTCCGGCTAGCGCCCTATTGGGCCCTGCGCCCACATGGCTAGGATTGATATGATTGATCTATTATAGGCAAGGATCACCATTAATTGGTTCTGTTTCTACAAGCCAAACCCTTAGGACATCCTTGCCTATATAAGTGTACCTTGAGACCCTCCAGAATCAATCTATTATCCCCGCTTGTTTACAGGCAATGCATGCAAAACAGTTCCTTGAAGATAGCTATTGAAATAGCCACTAAACTTCAGTACCAATCACCAGAATCACACAATGCAAGGATAACACACATACTATGGTTTGCCCTCAAAAACACACATACTATGGCACAAACCTGTGAAGGCCCTTGATGTTTGTCGGGGTGCCACTTGAGAGCAGATGCACGAAAACTACAGAAACACCATGTTGAGAAAGAATCAATTAGCAACCTTGTGACAATGAAGCCCTGCAAGCGCAATGTGCTGTTGTAGGAAATGTTTAAATGACTCACGCAGCCTTAATATGATCCAGATTTAAGGGGCCTAAAACTGGCAACCCGAGAGAGATCCTATAGCTTCGCAGATCATCATGGCCTGACTCCTCTTCCTCGTCGACATCACTTTCGTTCCAGAACTTTTCCTTTGATTTGGCAGACTGAGATTCCTCCCTCCATTGAAAACCACTAGGATTACTACCAAGGCCGTCATTCTCCCCAGGCCAGTACCATGTAAAAGATTTCTTACCACCATAGGTACCATATGGTGCGTCTGTGCATTCATCATCATCATCATAGCTATTCCAGTTCTGCCCACCTAGGTTAATCATCAATGCACACTTCTTGTCATCCAAATATACAGAAAATAATTTGGAGGTAACAGCAGATCATGAAATGTAAACTTATCCATAATAACAAAAGGTACACAGCAAATATGCTAGGGATGATCATCCAGATGTATTAATGTCACTATGACATATAGAATCCACATTTTAAGTAAATTGTGGAGCAAAAATCATGAGAAGGCAATGTTCACATGGAAATGTTAATGCAGAACAAATGCAACCAATGCATATGTAAAAGGTTGGCAGAGCACTCATGTTTGTATACTTTAGTATCCATTCGTCAGTCTAGTATTCTAGATGATTGAAAACATAGAATTGAGTTGTACAAAAGAGCACAAGCATTTAAAATTCAAAAAGTCATTCAAGGTAAACGATTTGAAAGAGCTTACGCTTATTTTTTCCATAGGGATTTTTTCCTGGAGTAGAGCGCTGGACCTTTGATCTGCTACTACCTTTCTGCTTTCTCATCTGTTTGCTACTGCTTTCCTGTAGAGAACATCGATACGCATTTGAAGCAATCCATTTTCACAGGGGGAATATGTTTCCGAAGAAATAAAAGAGAACAAGTCAATCACATGTATTTACTGGACTGTGGTACAACTATAGAGTCAGAAGAATTCACATGTTCAGGACTGGTACACCTAGAGTCAGAAGAATTCACATGTCCAGTTATACCGGGACAACGCATTGAAACGGGGTGGAGAATACAGCTCCAGAAGCTAAGCCCATTAGCGGAATTGCTTAGAGACAAGCTCACAAGTCTGCACGTAGAGAGAAATCCACGAGTAGGAAAATGGTCACCAAGACAATACCTGACATGGGCTGCCATTGAGCAGAAGGTTCTTGAGGGCGCTCTTTGCATCCCCACGCTTTTCACGGACGGCGAAACGGATACGAGGCTGCCCAAAATAACCGTTAGGTTCCAAACGATTCATGAAAAGCTGATGCCACGGTGCATTGCAAGTGGTTCAGGAGCAATGATTTCAGCTTTGGGTCGCATTGGGCTGGGTCTTGTTAGTCAAGAACTTATAGTTCCATACACAAGACAAGAAACTAAACGTGCCGTAACTTTTATTCAACTGCTCGTTAAGAATTCCAAATATATCTGAACTAACAGCTCGCAGAGTGATAGCGTGCAACATGACACACGCACATTTTGTTTAGGAGGAGGAAATGCAAGCTAAATCCATTGTCTAGTCTACTGACAGTTTGATACTGAAAGCTGAAATTCCAGGGATGGTGTGCTGACACGGAAGGTTTTGCGTCGCGGTTGTTTAGCTTCCTAGACAGACTCAATCCAACTTGCATCTACTGGTGAGGAGCCAAATCGAGTAAGTGAATATGCACGGTGGGGATGAGGTTACTAGGTAGGGGCTTACCGTGGATTTGGAGAGCGCTGGGGCGGAGGAGTGGAAGGCAGATGCCGCCCACGCCGCCGCCGCGCCCCTTCGTGCGGCCGCTGCTGTCAGCATCCCCTCCGGCCCTCCCTTGCTTGCGGCTTGCGGCGGCGGCGCACGGCGACAGAGAAGAAAGGAGAGCGATCCCCTCTCTTAACCTTTCTTCTTCTGTAATGCTAATACACATCGATCGGGCCGCACACTTTTGATCCAACGGCTGGAGGCAAGTATTTGCGGAAAAGCCCCTCACGATCAATTATTTTTGCGAAGAAGCTCTGAAATGGAGCACGCAGGGCGTCTCTCATCTTGGAGGAAAAAAAATATGACAAACTCGAAAGAATAACAACATGTCACATGGGACACTAATGGGTTATTTGGATCTCATGTCTTATGAAAGAGCGTTACTAGTGCCCGGACGTCCAGAGCCGCTTCGAAATATCGGATGCCTCCGGTCCTTCACGAAAAGGAGTATGTGCCGCCTGTTTTCGCGCGCCCCACCGCGTGGACCTCACGCTGCGTACTGTCCTACCATCACGCTCTCTCTGTTTCGCCTGACCACCGTGCGCGCAGCTACAGCTGTGGCAGGTGGGTCCCGTTGCAACATGTCCAACATCAGATTTACTTTTGCAACGTCCAGATAAAACACTTACAACAGACGTCCGAGAACAACTGAAACACTTGTAACATACGTCTAAAACACTTGCAAAACACCAAAAAACTTGAAAACACGTGTGTAGCTATAGCAAAAATATATGCAACATCTAGATGAAACATTTACAACATACGTATGAAACACTTGAAACATGCATGTGTATGCAACATACAGATCTACTTTTGTAACATCCAAATAAACCACTTACAACATACGTCTGAAACTGATGTAACATTTGGAACATGCACTTGAAACATACGTGTATAGTTATTGCAACATGTGCAACATTTCGATCTACTTTTGCAATATCGATATAAAACACTTGCAACATACCTCTAAAACATCTAAAACACTTGAAACATAGGTTTGCAACATGCACTTTCAGTGCAATGTCACCTTGCTGCTTGGACGAATGGAGACCCGTCGGCACGGAGGTCAACAGCAGCACGTGGAGCTCATCGGCGTGGCGGCGTCACACGAAGGTCCCTCCCTTCACCTACTTGCTGGAGCATCCGTCGTGGAGCCTCGGCGGCTCGGAGGAGCGGCCACGGCGAGTGGACAGCGTGGTGGAGGTGGGCGGCATGGTGGAGCGCGGAGTGGGGAAGGCGGGCGGCAAGTGGAGGCGGAGTAGGGAAGACGTACGGCACGGTGGAGCGAGTGGACGGCGCGATAGAGAGTGGGGAGATTTCTAGGAAGCCGCGCTCGTGCGTTCGGATGCCCTGACCCAGCATTACCGTTTATGAAAACTAGATTTTATAGAACAAGTTTGAGCCCAACAACCAGCAATACAATGTTTGGATGCGCTAACTAACTTGGGATTATCAAAAACAAAGTTGTCCACAGCCTAGAAAAGTGAGGCTTAACAAAAAAAACAAATTTGTTTTATGATTTCTTAGAGAACTGGCTTACGTACAATATCTCAATTGCCAACATCCAACAAATCTAGCAATCATTCTACATGGTGGGTACAAGCCGGCAACGGTGTATATAAATTAATTAACTATTTAATAGTCTTTCTAAATCTCACTCTCTAAATCATCATTTAGAGAGCCCTTTACATAAAAATTCATTTCTATTTCATTTCACTCTCCAACAACTTTTCTATATCTCATGCGCACTCTAGAAAGTCATTCTCGTCTTCTATTTTTGCCTAGCGAAAAATCAGGAATAAAATATGACTATATTTGGATGAAGATTTAGAGAAACTGTTGGAGGATAGTTTTTCACCAAAATATCTATTCTTGACATTTAGGAATGATATGGAGAGTCTCGATGCTCTTAGATGAGAGAAAGTGCTATCCCTGCTCCGGTGGTCGGTGGAGTCGCCTCCTGCCCTCCTCTATTCCCAAACAAAGAAGAAATATTCAAACACGGAGTAAAAAACTAGCCAACAGCGATGTTTTTTTTGTCTCCTCTGCGTTCAAAAAAAAAATTCTCCCGAAATTCCAAATAAACCTTGTTTTACTAAAACTAGATTCTGATTAGAAGGTCTAAACAACACGTGCCAAATTTGGACAAGTCAAGCTTTTGACTGCCATTTAACCTGTTACCAAAACTTGCGTAACACATAGATGAGACACCCTCGGTAGAGATCACCTGCTATCCTCCATGATGATATGTGTAAGCTGTGCATTCGTCAGATCTAAACTTTCTAAATAACTCAACATAAACCTAGGTCCTATGACCTATCATCTTATGCATAATGGCTCAAATAGTCAAAAGAAGCTGGCTATTTCAATAGCTCTGAGCTCTCTCCCAGGAACTGTTTTGCATGCTTTGCAAAATCGAAATGCACAGCATATATACCAAATAGATTGAATTGATTTGTTGAAACTGCGGATTGAACATAAAAATAGCCAAAAAAGATATACTAGCTCGGTTATTTTTATTAATTTGTTTAACCAGATCAAAATCCTAAAGGCCTCTGTATTCTCCAAGCTGAAGCAGAGGAAAAATTCAGACGTTGCGTGGAGACATACGACGAAAGAAGAGTTTTTGATGATTTTGAGATTTTCTTATGACTTCTACTGATGCGTGGAGCTGCTGGTCTTCAGGACACAGAAACTACTAGAAGAAAGTAAAGTTTAGAGTTTTGGATTCATGTTCATAACGAAATATAAAAGCATAATCTGTACCAAAAGCATAGATTAGGTCAGTCCAGCCAAATCTTATGAGAAAGCAAATTCAAGGACTCATTTGTATGATGATCTGATTCCACCAACGCTGAAGTGTAAAGAAAAAACTGTTCCACTGTGAGGCTTTGTCAAATTTGACGCTGCAAAACGTATCCTCGAGACTCCTGGAAATCTCAAACTCTTTCAGTGTCAGCAAATACTTTATTTGACATAAAATGCAGCAAATGCTATACTTGTAACACATGTTTTGTGGTGACTGAAAATCGAAACCAGGCTACCATTGTCGTATAATCATCTCCACACCATCCTTGTTTATATGTTAAGTCTTGACAGTTGACAAACGCCGTATTGTATAGAAACCGGAAAACCCAGCCCATGTACAGGGCCATTCATACTTGCACGGATGCTCAGATTACAACGCTTTCAGAATAAATACAAAGCTATTGATAGCAGCAGCACAGCCAAAGCAATTTATAAAACTATCAGCTCTTACAGGTACAACCAATCAAGCCAAGCAAGTGACAACAACTCATCTCACAAACCAGGTGATACGACACAGCGTGCTCGCACATGGAGCCGCAACATACAAAAGGGGGGCCTATCCCCAAGAGGACTCAGGTCCGATGAAAATAAACGTAGCATGCAAACCTGCCACATATCTCGAGAAATGAAGGGGACATAACTTGAGACTAGGTGACGATGACGATGAGGAACTTGCGAAACCTAGAAGCACTTCCTGTGAACAATTGCCGGGCCAGACTCATCATACTCCTCCTTTGATATCCACATCTGGTACATCAATGCCACATCATAACAGAATTCAGAAGTGTTTTCATTTCAGCCATATTATTATGAGTTAAAAGAAATAAAGTGCAGCAGCTGAAAGTAATATAAACAACACACACCTGTTGGAAAGTGCTGAGCGAGGCTAGGATCGACCCTCCTATCCAGACACTGTACTTCCTTTCAGGTGGTGCAACGACCTTGATCTTCATGCTGCTTGGTGCAAGGGAAGTGATCTCCTTGCTCATACGATCAGCGATACCCGGGAACATAGTTGAACCTCCACTGAGCACAATGTTGCCGTAGAGGTCCTTCCTGATATCCACGTCGCACTTCATGATTGAATTGTATGTTGTCTCATGGATTCCAGCAGCCTCCATACCAATCATGGACGGCTGGAAGAGGACCTCAGGGCACCTAAATCTCTCTGCACCGATGGTAATTACTTGACCATCAGGTAGTTCATAGCTCTTTTCGACTGAGGAGCTGTTCTTGGCAGTTTCCAACTCTTGCTCATAGTCAAGGGCTATATATGCAAGCTTCTCCTTGATGTCCCTTACAATTTCTCGCTCGGCAGAGGTTGTGAAGGAGTAACCCCTCTCAGTGAGAATTTTCATGAGGGAGTCCGTGAGGTCCCGACCAGCAAGATCCAAACGAAGAATGGCATGAGGAAGGGCATATCCTTCGTAAATGGGCACAGTGTGGCTCACACCATCACCAGAGTCAAGAACAATACCTGTAGATTGAGAAAATAAAAAAGAGGAAACTTCAGACACACAGTGTAAACAATTAATTTTAGCTTCCATTATTTATTCTTGGTATATTAGCTGAGATACTTATTTTTTCCTGAATTCATATCACCGTACAGACTGAGGTGGTAAGCACATATGCAGTGTATCTGAGTTATGCAATCTCATGAACAAGAATAGAAGATACATGGCGACATGATATGACCTTGACAATAACCTCAGATAAATACTTGATAACAGCATAATGGAACCATAGAGACATTATTAGTAGGAACCTGAAGCAACACCGGACTACAGGGAGAAGCAGGACATACCAGTAGTACGCCCACTAGCATAGAGGAGAGCACGGCTTGAATCGCATAACGTATATGGCTGGAACATTGAAAGTCTCGAACATAATCTGGGTCATCTTCTCCTGTTGGCCTTTGGGTTCAGAGGAGCTTCAGTGAGCAACACAGGGTGCTCCTCGGGGGCAACACGGAGCTCATTGTAGAAAGTGTGATGCCAGATTTTCTCCATGTCATCCCAGTTGCTCACAATACCGTGCTCAATCGGGTACTTGAGCGTGAGAATACCTCTCTTGGACTGTGCCTCGTCACCAACATAGGCGTCCTTCTGTCCCATCCCTACCATGACACCAGTGTGACGAGGACGACCGACGATGCTAGGGAAAACAGCCCTTGGTGCATCGTCACCAGCAAAACCAGCCTATGAAGAGAGCCATTATTAGTGGCATATTTGGAAACAAACAAGGGAGATAATGTTTGTACAATAAGGAGGGGGGGAAGCACTGACCTTGACCATTCCGGTGCCATTTGTCGAGACAAGAGGCTGGATGTCCTCACCATCAGCCATTTCTACAGAACTGCTGCAGCTTGGCATATAAAGAGAATCCATCAGTGATATTTTTTTTTTCAATATATGATTGATTGAAAGGAACACTGGATTCGAATTCACATGCTAACTGAAAGCACTAAATCCAATTCTTAGTACAGAAAAAAGGTCACACAAAGAAAACAATTTATTCATGACTTGCAGCATCTCAAATTTGCAATCATATTCCAGTAAACTAATATGCGTGGAGGAAGTTTACTTCCGGACGAAAGACCAACTACTCTTCACTGGAATCACGCCAACAACAACTTCCACTGACACCCCAGTTCAAGCATCCAGTTAGCTCAGACCAATTCGTAAAAAAAGACTAGCGAACTCTTCTACGCCAGATCCGAATGCAACTGTACCACACCCGTAACTAGATCAGATCCGGATGCAAGCATGCTATATACTTGTAACTAGATCAGATCCGGATGCAAATACACAAATGGGAAGCGTAAGCTAGGGTTTGGGAGATCGGTTCCGCCCAGCACGAAGGGAAAGGAAGGGGCAGGCGGCGAACCTGGTGATCTCCGGCGAAGGACGCGGCGGAGACCTGGGCACCAGGCGAAGGGCGGCGTCGGCGGTCTCGCCCAGTCGTCGCGAGGAGAGAGGAGAGAGACCTGTGGCAGTCGGGGCTGTGGTCTGTGAAGGAGGAGCAGAAGAACGTGGTCTCTTCGACTCCTCAGTCCTCACGACTCAAAATGGCAACGGGTACCCAAAACCCGAGTATCCGACGGGTTTTAGCCGATAAGAAAGGCAGTCTGAAAGACATTTTACACTCACGGTATGTTATTGGACTAATTTCTTGTACCTATCAAGTATGTGGGTACGGATATGGGTGTATACTACCCATACCCGCATACCCACGTTTAAAAAAACCCGCATAAATAATATCCAACCTCTACAATTTTAGCTCATATAAGCATATAGCTCATATTTGACCCATATAAGCATATGAGTATATATATTCGAGAACTCCCTCAAACCCTAATCCCCATATAAGCATATTTGGAATGAACCAATGAGGCATCTGATCTATTTCAACTAGCTTGACCTGGATATATTTCTGTTTTGCTGCTCTATTGTTGATTTGTTTTGTTGGAAGCTATTATATTTTGGTATGTGAACTCGGGTATATTGTTGGGTGCGGGTTACCCGTCGGGTAAGAATTACCCGTCGGGTGCGGGTATGGAATGAATTTTCTACCCACCTGCGGGTACGGGTAACCCGACGGATAAGATTTTGATCTGGCGGGTGCGGGTACGGGTGGCCAGTACCCATCAGGTACGTACCTGTTGCCATTTTGACTCACGACTATGGCTTAAAAAATAAAAAATAAACAGCTCTCAAAAACACACCAAACTGATTTTTGCGATGATTTTATACTCCTTATAAATTGAAGCGGTTCAAGGTGAAAATGGGAACCTTGAGGCTATAACTGTCAATCTGAAAATTGAAGCGGCTCAAAGTGATTTTTGCCATGATTTTATACTCCTTATAAATGTTAAAATCAAAGACGACTAAAGTGGTTTTTTAAGATTTTCAAGACGAGTTTCACATGTCAGAACATCTATACTTCTTTTTTTCCTGATTGTTTTAAGCAACGTCGTATGGTTTTTTTTTATCACGCCATCTATATCGGGCCCATCCTACGGGTAGGCTTCATTTCCTTCTATTCGTGTGTCCCCTTCCTTTATGTCTCTCACTGTAAGTCGACCCTAGTCACCCCATCCATCATCTTCGTCGTCCTTCCATCTCTCTCACGGATCCTTATTACCCTTATCTTGAAGCGCCACCATGAGAAGCATGGCTAAAGATCTATGAGTAGCAGGTTGGAGTGGTGAAATGGAAGACCATCCTATGGCTTCTTTGTTGTCGCTGAGTGAAGTGAATAGCATATGAGGTCATTCATCATGGCTCTTATTTTTAGCTCTACCGCGTTATTGCAAGCTCATAGTAGTGGGTAATAGTGATGGGGAGGGGCTAGGGAGTATGAACGATGTGTCCATCTAGTAGTGAGAGAAAAAGAGGGGGATGCATAGATGCATGAATAGAGTGGGAAGGATGCTTGCATGTTGGGTCTACATGTTACATTAGCAAAACTACCTTGGAAACATTTTGAAGTGTCACAGTGGGTAGTTTGTTTGATTTGGAGAGTCGGTATAGCATATGATGTCGGATTTTTAGCAAAAACTTACCTTTAGATTACTTTGAATCGTTGTAGTAGATAATATGTCCCCTGTTCTAGGATTTAGTGTTGTATGATGTCTAGCTTCTGAGTTTATATAGGAGGGTGGGGTTGTTCAAACTATGAGACAAGTTCAGTATGATAAAATGGATTTTACTCTATATTTATCTTGGTAATATTTCGTTTTGTTTTTTTGGAAGTACTCATTAAAACTCATATGACGTATATAAAAATTGTATGAAATAGGTATTGCAAGTTAAATAAAAATATCTACAATATATCCAAATTTTTGTTGATATATGTATGATACAATCTAGGTAGATGTAGAAGAACTTGAATTAAGGAGTACGCAAACATGAGTGAATTTGGAAATGCAAAGCCTGTTTTCGGAGCCCACAGGGCATTTTAAAACCCGCCCCGCACTCAACCTGATTTGGGTCATGACCCTCAAACACGTGGGGCAAAAAGACACCCGCACCCGCTCCCGCAGGGTCTGAAATTCGCGGGGGCCTAGCCCGATCTGCCCCCGTTGTTGTCCCTAGTTTGGACAAGCCAAAGCCAATCTATCGCCACCTCCCTCTCCGATCTGCACATGGCGCTGATCCACCGGTGAACTAGGCCAGCTGGAGGCAAATGCATTGTTGTATGAGCTCAAATCTGGCATGGATGATGAGATAGAGAACATCTCTCTCTCTCTCTCTCTCTCTCTCTCTCTCTCTCTCTCTCTCTCTCTCTCTCTCCCTATCCTCTCTCCCTCACCTCGCTCTATCTAACTCTCCTCAAGGTGAAGCTCAAATCTCCCAAGCTAAATGGTGGTGGTGGCAAGGGAGGAGTATGGAGTACGACTACAAATCATCTAGTGGTGGATGCAACAACAGTGAGTGAAAGCGGTGGAGTTGTTCATAATTAGGAAGAACCAGCCCAAAGGGATCACGCGTTCGAAGGTGGTGAGGGCATGATTGAAGGCAACGGCAAGCCTCCGTCCATAGCGGGTTCAGCGGTGACATCCACGCATAGGCCCATTGGGTCTGCAGGCTCGCTCAACTAGGCATTTTTTATTTGTTGAATTTTATTTCTAGACTAGAGGTTGGGCGTTTAACCCGCTGTGTGTAAGGCGGTGTTCATATCCACTTATGGAAACTCAAGCTTTCCACCACTAAAATATAGCATTGGATTGAATTAAAATATTAGTTTAGAGAGTTAATCAGGCATAGGTCATACTTAATTAGGGCGGTAATTTGAGCTTTATACTTCTATTAATTATCCAAACCAAGGTGCCACATTGAAAAAAGGAAAATCACTTTTGGCATTTTGTGTGTGTATTATATATCATATATGGTGGGCATGTCACGTATGGAAGCATTTCTAGGACATGTTTGGCGGGACTTTTTTGAAACCGATTTCACCCAAAAAGGCAGAGAAGTCGGAGAAGCCAAATTTAGGTAGTTCCACTGGTATAGTTAAAAACACACCTTTTCCCCCTCTTGGGCTTCTTTCATAAAGTCATTTCTGAAACTAGCATTTAATATGACTTCACCTAAAAGGTTAAAGAAGCAAGAGTTGAAACCTATCAAAGAAGTCTTACCAAAATAGTCACTACACCACAACACCGAGATCAGCGTCGGACAATCTGACGCTAAAAGCAGATATAACGCCGGACGATCTGACGCTAAAAACTTATAGCGTCAGACTTCTGCAGACGCCATAAGTCCTGACGCTAAAAATCTTTAGCGTCAGACAGCACTTTTAGCATCAGACAGTCTGTTGCCCTGAATATATATTGTATCAGACAGTCCGTTGCTAACTTATAGCGTCAGACAACACTTTTAGCGTCAGACAGTCAGTTGCCATGTATTTATAGCGTCAGATTGTTCAACAGGACAATATAAATATGCCAAAAAAATAAATAAATACAATTAGAATACATTTAGCACATATCATACCCGCATTAAAGCTTAATGTCATCACATAAAGATACATAAACATGTACATCACATCATGGAGGTTAATACATATATAACATACAATCTTGTCTTGCACCCTATTTGAATCATCCAAAGTCAGGCACCAAAAGGTTACATGAATGCACTCGGCTTGCCAACACTAGAGCACATCCACCAGGTTATGTGGAAAACCACCTTCCAAGCCAAAGACTTGCCCAACACTTCCCGAAAAATATAACAATCTCAGCGGCTGCACAAGTTAAAGTGGTGCAAGGTCCAAAACTTGCAACCAATTTATGTTTAAGAGGAATTCTGCAAATTGATACAATCCAGGAAAAAGGACAAGTTTTTGCAGCCATAGTCCAAGACTAAAGGATATAGGTGAACTTCTTGTTGAACAATAAAAAGAATCCACCAGGGCAAACAGATTTAAAAAAGAGTAATTTGGTGCACTGTACTTACAAAATTTCAGTATTACAGCTATATTTGAACGATGGCTACAGTATCAGACATTTTAGATAAGAAGCATAGTATTTCCATTTCAGTCAATACACTCTAAACCCTAAAACATGGGCCCAGTAGCAACAGCTAGAAGTTATTCAAAAGGAAGACCAGCTACCAAAAAAATGGACACTAATATTGCATGGGGCCAGTAGCCATGCAGCAAGTAGACTGAAAATTAGTACTCTATTTATTTGTGCTCAGATGTACAGCCATCAAGCAACCTTCATCGCTGACCTCATTTTCCAGAAACTCAAGCCAAAGGCTAGTGCCCAACACTTCACGAAAAATATAGCAACCATGTAATCGCAAGTGTAGACAAGCTATGTAAAACCCGACATACAGTA